TTTCCAAGGATTGACTGTTTTCCATACGTACTGCATTTAATCCTTCAAACCGTCCCGCGACAGTTCAGAGGAAAACGATGCTAGACTTCAGTTACTTGCAGTGTAGGAATTTGAACTCAGGGCTTTGGTAACCTGCAATGAATTCTTAGTAACGGTGAGTTCTGTGTGCCAGGAACCATGGTAAATGCTAAACATACAGATGTAAAGGGGAAACTGCGAGGCTCTAGTAGAGAAACTAGTACATGCAAACCTGATCCACACACATAATGTATAGCCTCCTGGAACAAAACCCAGGGGTTAAATAAGTTAATCAAATGGGAAGTGGGGGCCTCAAGCAGGTGATGTGGTGGTTAAAGTGCTGAACTCCCTCATGGGTGACAGTGGGTCAAGTCCTGAACTCGGCAGCTTGAAACACTCCAGGCACATGTATATGCATGTCCAAAAACCCCAGGAGGAGCATGGAAAAGGGATTGCAGCATGGCCATACCGTGGGGGGTGATTTCTCACTTTATTTCTCACTGTCTATCTCCAGGAAGCACGCGCACCCTAGGGGAGAAAAAAAGTAGGGGAAGATGAGACTTACATGCTGAGTCCTCTCTGAACGGCTTTTCCTAAGAGAGGAAAAAGTAGCAAAATATTTGTGTAGCAAAAGAAGTAGCCAAACACAGCTGATAGCCTACCTTCCCTCCACCTGTAATTTAAAGGTATTGCGGATCAATACAAAGTTATTTGTATTTTTGCCTCCGTTACCAGATTATTAAATTCTGAAGAACAGAGGCTGTCTCTTATTAATGAATGTTTAAATCTTGTCCAATGTTCAGTACTTTGTACAAGAGTGAGGATTCCCTAATTGTCTCTTGCATGAATATGACTGAATTGGTTAGAAAGAAGATATTACTGATGTTCCTATCTCTAAAAAGCAGTGATTTTCCCTCGTGGAAGAAACATTCACTACTGACCAAGCACACGTGTGCTCTTTCACCTTGCCCACCCCGTAGTTCTGGGGAACGGACTCTAGGTAGTCATACTGTATGTCCTTCTAGACCAAAGCGTTCGTGAGCTCAGAGACAAGCCATTAGCAGCTGTCCAACACTCCTCTGCCATCCTGCTTCCCTGATGCCTCGTGAAATGTACTCTCCTCCCACCCCAATAACGCATGTTTTTTTGTTTTTTTCTTTGTTTGTTTGTTTGGTTTTGGTTTTGGAGAGGTTTTTTTCGCTATAGGGCGCGTGCCGTTGCCAGACAGACAGAGAGAGACAGAGAGACAGAAAGCGAGAAATCACCCCACAGGGGGCATGGTCATGCCGCAATCCCTTCTCCTCCATTCTCCTCTCGGGATCTTGGGCACGCACGCACACGCGCCCAGAGTGAGTTTTAAGCCACCGGGTCCGAGACGCAAACCGCGGTCGACTACGTAGGAGTCCAGCGACATAGCCATTACGCTAACTGCTGGTTCCCCGCATGTTGAAAATAATATAGCAAGAGTGAAAAGTGGGAGACAAAGCATTAATGGCACAAAGAGGTGTGGTATTATCTGTTGAAGACATTTCATAGCTTTATCAATAGTACTAGGAAGAAATGTTCACCTGTTGAAATATCCATTTTATAAGACAAATAATAATGTTATCGAATGTATGGAAGAAAATGAAATGAAATGAAATGAAATAAATAAATAAATAAATAAATAAATAAATAAATAAATAAAAGGCAAAAAAAAAAAAAAAGAGTGCAAAGTGTTTGGCCCTGGAGATGTCCGGGTTAATTTGATGTCTGAGGCCAGGCCTAGTCCGCACCGACTCATACAGCCTTCCGTGCACATCACCGAGCACGCGTCACAGGTGGGGGTACTCTGTGACTCTCAGGAAGCCTGAACTGAGTGGTCAGGGCCAAAGGAAATAAGCAGTGACCCTGAAAAATGGCTGATGTCAAATGGAGTCCGCTTTTGCCTTGGGGTAGACTAATGTTTTAAACTGTGCTCACGGAATTGCAGGTGCTACAGACATGCCTCAGGAACCCCGGCAAGGCCAAGAAGACCAGAAAACAGCCCTGCCCCAGCCCTAAGCAGGTAAGTTACTTTTACCCGGCATCGTGCACTGATTTTCCACGGGATGGTTTTTCAAAAGGTTTACATTTATAGGAATAGTTGGGGCTACCAGGTAGTGGAGTGGTTAAGGTGCTGGACTTCCACATGGCTGACCTCAGTTGGAGTCCTGAACCCAGAGACTTGAAAATCATATGGGGCGTGTGTGTGCATGTCCAAAATCCCTAGTGGAGAATGGAGGAGAAGGGATTGTGGTGTGGCCAGCCTCCATGGGGGTCTGGGGGAACTTCTCACTTTCCCTCTCTCTGTCTCTCTCTCCAGAGAGTACATATACCCTAAGACAAAAACCTAAAAAAAAAAAAAAAAAAGTAACAGTTTGGGAAAGAGGGTTGCAGATGGTGGAACAGCAGCGAAACACTACACTGTGAGGCAGATGCACGTGAGAAGGTTCCAGGTTCACATCTGGGGAGCTCCCTGAGCCCTCCAGGCACACACAAGCCCACGACCCAGGGCCGGGAGTGGGTCACAGCATCAGGACCCTGTTGGAGGTATATTTCTCACTCACGCTCTTTTTCTCTCATTCCTGAAATAAATAAATGAAGTTGTTTGTTTGTTTGTTTGTTTGTTTTTCCTAAGGGCTACAAATCACTGATTAACCATCAGCACATTCACAAAGGAGAAAAACAGATAAAATCAAAACGACTATACTGCACTGGCTAAAGAAAGGATTGCGGGAACCAGCAGTTAGCGTAATGGCTATGTCGCTGGACTCCTACGTAGTCGACCGCAGTTCGCGTCCCAGACCCGGTGGCTTAAAACTCACACCGGGCGCATGTGCGTGCGTGCCCAAGATCCCGAGAGGAGAATGGAGGAGAAGGGATTGCGGCGTGACCATCCCCCCTGGGGAGTGATTTCTCGCTTTCTGTCTCTATGTCTCTCTCTGTCTGTCTGGTGAGTGCACGCGCCCTATAGTGAAAACCTCTCCAAAAAAAAAAGAGCCTTTGGTCGCACTCACACCATCTCCTGGGAGCAGTAAGGGACCATGTGGCCTTCAACACTGGAAGCCCAGGCCCATCCAGTGCACAGGGGGCTTTTAGAGCATCTCGAGGTGCCCTCTGGTCATACACATCAGTCCTGCCTTCTCAGGGGGAGAGGAAAAGCCGACGGGACGCCTCACTCTTTAACCCTCAACTATTACTCTTCAGTGCTGTTTGGAGTACCCTGAAGTGATTACTTTACAGTGGCTGTGAAAAGTGGTGTAGACAAACCAGGTAAGCTTTTTATTACTCTATTTCTTCCTTTTTGCTTTGCTTTTTCTTTTTTTCTTTTCTTTTCTTTTTTTTTTTTTTTTTGAGGGGTTTTTGTTTTAGGGCCGGTGCGCTCCC